CAAAACGAACTTTTGCGAACGAGGGGGAGGGGGGGTATAGAGACCTTATGTACGTTCGCATTAAAATAATTTAACGAATTAATCTGTTATCAAAGTTAATCCTTTGATGACAAATGTTGAATGAATATATGACTTGAATATAAATAGTTTATGTTTATAATACATGATTTAAACGATTGATTTAATTTTAATCAAATTATTTATAAATTTAGTTGTATTTTATTTCTTAGGGGAGGGGGGGTTTAACAGGAAATGCGTACGTACTTTTGCTTAAATGACAACATGCGAACAATTGCGAACATAGGGGGGAGGGGGTCTAGATTTCTTAAAAAGTGCGTACGTACTTTGTGAACAAAGCCTAAGCGTTTTTAAATTGTATAATTGTATCATGTTTCTTGACATCTACAATAGAATGCTGGTAACATTATTTACATAAATATGTTTAATGAAACAATTTCCAGATTAAGTGTGAGATTAATTTCAACCTTATAATTTTAATAATTATTATAATTATTACAATTGTTTAATTAAATACAATGTAAAATCAGATTTAGTTTAGTGTTTTAGTTATTTATTTAATGATATTAATAATCAATTATTTACATTGAATTTTTTAAAAATATTAAAAACACGTGAAAAAACATATTTTACATTAATAGATCAAATAATGCCAAATATTTAACTAATAGTTTCACTACATATTAGAAGAGGACTATAAAATGTTAACAAAATTATTTGTGAATGACATCATAGGATCCGTTTCATACAACTCTGCGATGAAATACAATGAAAGTTAATTATATTGTTAAATATACAGTGAAAAACTATTAGGTAATAATAAGTATAATGATTGAGGTATGAGTTATATTTACAGCATAATTGTTTAATATCCGGGCTCTCATGGCGTCCACATTCATGCCAAGCATTGATGCGATTCTTCGCCTTTTATCCAAACACTCCTTTACCTGAAAATTGATATTTTAATTGAAAAATTAATTTTGTTTCACAACCAATTGAGAAATTTTAATGAAGACATTGATGATAGAAATGTTGATACCTTATCGCCTCCGGGCATATATCGGTAACATATGAAGGGAAGTGTCATCTCTTTTACATTCATTGTTTGCTTAACACAATTGCTGTAAACGGTTTTATACTAGCGTTTTGCGATTCAAAACAATTATTGTTTAGTTATTTTCAATTATTTGATGACATTTTTAATAGTTTTTTCAAACAATAGTGAAAGTGGTTTTAATGAGAAAATTTTTAAACAGTTAATTTTGATTATATTTTTAAACAAGCAAATAATTTAACTATTTATATAATCTTATTCATTATAAAGAGGGGTACACTATATGTATTGTACATTACATACCAGTATAGGTACACTTAATTCACAATCCTTGGTAATTGTGAGTTTCTCTGCGCCAATACTTTTAATATCTGTGTTAAAGCAAACAATTTTACTGATATTCACCAACAGATCCATTGTTTGACTGTCCAGTTGTTCACAGAAGACAGTGTTAATCATCGCAAACATCACAAAACATCCAATAATCTGTAGTTTAAACATATTTAGCGATAAAATGTGCGAAATGTTTGACAGAAAACTGAATGAAATCAAATGTTTGGTAAAACTTTTATTGTATAAAAAGTAAATTCAGTGCAAAAAACAAAACAAATTCATAACTATTTTTATAGATTACTATTTTTGTGATTAATTAGCACTTGGTATGCGGGTTATGATAATACTGGCCTAATCTCGATTATAATTTTTCAATAAATACCCTTTTTGACATAATTTTTAAAAATGTTCATAGGATTCATAGGAATCCTTGTAATTAATAATAAATATATTTTCAATAATAAGTATCACAATTAATGTAGTTCAATATTACTATTTTATCCTCTTGTCCCTGAATTTAATAAACATTTTTACACAACATACTGTATAGGACTTATGATCTTGAATTTTATGCTAGTTAATTGTGGTTTTATATAAACTAGTTTTTTAAATGAAATAACTGTAGGTAATTAATTAATTTATTCATTTGTCTAAATGTGAGAATTGTATTTCTAAGTATATTAATTTAATTGGTAAATTCTCTCTCTCTCTCTCTCTCTCTCTCTCTCTCTCTCTTATTTTCTCAACATTACATTACTTAACATTTTATTAAAAATTAAAACTTTTGTGGTGATAAGGTATTCTCTCTCTCGTTGTAATAAAATTCAATGAGATTTAGAGTAAAATCATAATTTTTATTTATTTAATTCAATTGATTGCTCACACAATAAGTATAATAATATCACATTTAATTAACACATTAAACAGCAATTGGTTTTTATGACATAATAAAGTGTTTACATAAAACAGTATTTGTATGAATGTGCCGGTTATTGGTGTAGGAAATAACAATTAAGCAATTATAAAAATTTATATGCTTGATCAACTTAAAGCACCTTGATCATACAGGCCTGATACTCCTCAGCCAATTGTTTTCTCATAGCCTGGGGGTCAACACCGGGAGGCAGTCTCTTAGCGGAGGCTTTGGCTCTATTTAGTAGACATGGTTTCAGCTATAAGTGAATTAACAAAAAAGTTTTAATTTTTAATAAAATGTTAAGTAATGTAATGTTGAGAAAATAAGAGAGAGAGAGAGAGAGAACCGGCCAAATATGAGACGCTTGGCTCCCGTCATATGCGTGTCCAAAGTGTCCGACAGTCAGAAGAAGATTATCGAGAATTGTGCTAAACTTTTGTAGAGAGAGAGAGAGAGAGAGAGAGAGCATACCTTATCACCACCAGGTCCAGTTCTGTAGCAAATGGCCGGTTTTGTCATCTTGTTTACTTTGAGCACCGATCGGACACAACTGCTAACTGCAGATCTCGCCTTCAATTACACGCAGACATACAAAACAAATAATTAAAAATAACTAAATTAAAAGTCATTTCAATAATCAAACAATAATTATAACCCTAACTAATAAGTGTTACGATTTGCACGCAATTTAATCATTAGTTTTCAATACAAAACAAATTGCAAAATACAATGGCTTACAAAAGATGGGATCAATTTATTGCATTCATTGACAATGCGTTTCTTATCGGCCGACAGGTGCGGACCGCAGACCACTTTGGCCACCCGATCCATCTGTGGGTAACCGAGTGTATCGAACACACCATACACTGCGACCGCACCGCACATCACCACCAATAGGGCCAACAGCACTAGTTTAGACATATATTAGCCGTATATTAACCGCAAAAATCAAAACTTTAAGATCAACTCAAATGTGATTTTTGAGAAGTGATTGAAATTTTGTGAGAATATTCATCCCTTTTTATATCCATTTTGGATAATTATCATACCATTAGACAGTATTTGTTACAAAAACACATGTTTTCTTGTATTTGTTAATAAATATGTAATTTTAGGACATTTACAATGAAAATACTTTGTTTGTTGATCACTCGATACGATATAATTAATGGATAAGTTTAGTACTTTTATCGCTATCTCTTCTATACAAATGTACTCTAACTATAACAACAAAAATAGATGAAGTGTTTTGGATACCTGTGCTAAAGGGACATGTAATTAAGTTTCTGGTGCAACAGTACGATTATGATTATATTTTGCTGTGTTCTCTCTCTCTCTCTCTCTCTCTCTCTCACACTCACTCACTCACTCACTCACTCACTCACTCACTCACTCACTCACTCACTCACTTACTCACTCTCTTAATGAAAATCTAGTTTGAGTATAGTATGTGATGAATAAAATGTATTTAGCAATTAAAATGTGTATATAGAAGGGACGGGTAGGCAATAAGTGAAGGGATAGTTGTCTCAGTGAATAGGCGTTACACAAGATTTACGTAATTTTCAAGGATTACCACTTTAAGGGAATTCCCTCTTAAAAGACGCTTTTATTCATTTGTTTTGTAGACATGATTACCATATTCTGTACTTAACCACCATTTAGTACATTAATACTTGGTTTCCAAGTATTGAACATTTATTTTTCTTAAAAGTTTTATTAGTAAAACCAAATGAAACTTATGTTTTGTTTTTTGAATTAATTTTTTGTATTATATTTGTTAGATTTGTTTATTAATATTAAGTTTTTGATAGATTTAAACATAATCCTTAGCAGGGTTAGTTTTTTTAAGTTAAATATCAGGTACTCATTCTGTAATTAGATTTTTTAAAACTATACTGTATAACCAATATTATTATTGTAAAATTGAATATTTAAAGTTTTAATTTATATATTTTTTAAACAAAAATAAATGTACATTAAATAATAGATGATAGATTAAATGCTCGAAAATTATTTATTTTTACCAATTAATAGGTGCAAAATTACAAAATTTATCACATAACATAGTTATAAAATTCTTCATTTGGTAACCAGGCGCAGTTTACAAAAGTTTGAGCATGCAGGCCTCGTATTCATCACCAATCTGCTTTCTCATGGCTGCGATATCAGTACCCGGCGGTAGTTTCTTAGCGGCCGCCTGTGCCTTACGTTTCAGGCATGGAATCAACTAATAGATGGCTAAATAATTATCTAGGTGCATAAATTAAATTGACATTTAGATATACCTTTTCGCCACCTGGCTGAATTCGGTAACAAAGGCCCGGTTTTGTCATTTTAGACACTTTTAACACGTCTTTAACACACGATTTATATCCATTTCGCACCTAATTATTAGTTTGGATTAATTGTAATTACTTTATATATTTAATTATAAATTAACAATATGAAATAAAATTACTAATATGCCATAATTAGCACTAATTATTAATAACAGAGGAATTTGTATTAAAAAATACAATGTGGTAATGGATAAAATGGGTAATAATATGGTAATAAACCGTACACTTGAGGGCAAAAGTTTAGCACAATTCTCGATAATCTTCTTCTGACTGTCGGACACTTTGGACCCGCATATGACGGGAGCCAAGCGTCTCATATTTGGCCGGTTCTCGGGCTCAAAGTCGGCCCAAACCACACCACATATCACCACAATTACCGCGATTATCACCAATTTAGACATAGCTCACTATTTGTTTGTCAAAGTTTTACTACTAAACACTTTTAGACAAAATTATGTTTAAATTATGTGTTTAAGTCTAGCATTGAATTTTGAATTCTTTATATACCTATTATGACGGGTGAATAATAAGGTAATTTTTGGTCATAAAAACTAGTAATTTTGCGTTAAAACAAAATACATCCTGGTATAAATTATACGCTTTCGGGCATCTATTTAGATGTCATGTCAAATGTACTTAAAAAGTGATGATCGAGTACATTTAATGGGATATTAGGGTATTTAAAATTAATATTTTAATATTCATGTCTATATATAATATTATAAATTTACAACTTGTTAATTGTTGTATGAAAACAAGTTTGATTGATATCTCAAGGTATTTGAATGAACGAAAGTTTTTAATACTTTCTTAAAATAATATTTCTTTGTTTTATTAATGGAAAATTTAATAAAAATCATTTAATATCAATTATGGTGAAAATGTCATTTATAATCTTATACAATTTCTCATTAATCCAGTACTTTAGGACTTGTAATGTATGAAATATAACTAAACATTATATTTTATGTTCAGATTTACATGACTGCAAAATTATTTATTATTTTATAAAAAGTTAATTATTCAAAATGCACTTAACTATTAACATGTACAATTGGAAAATATTTTAATTAATCAAATATTTAATTAATCAATAATAAGTTATACCATGACTATTTGTACATAATAGAAGATGGTATAAAATTACTTGCAACTAAGGAAATTTCCAGTATTTTTAAACATTAGACAAATTTTAAATATTTTCTACATATAATTAAAATATTAAAATCTATATTTTAATATTAAAAGATACTTATATTACAATTAAATTGTGATTAATAATAACAACAAAACATTAAAAATAAATAATTGCATTTATTATTACAATTATAATTGTACAAGCTTATATTTTAATAATAAATTTTAAATGACAAAAGGACTTTTTGGGCTATCATACACTTGATCATGATCACCTTTTACAGCGCTGTTTGTTGCACCATGGTACTTTATGTTTATAGTCCTTTTATACACACTCTTTGAGCTCATATTTGATACACACTCTCATT